ATTAGAAAAACAAAAAACAAAACAGAAATTTAGACAAAATTTGTTATAATAACTAAAATTTTCTAGCATTCAAAACAATGCTGACATGCTATACTTAGTCAAGTCAAAAAAACCATTTTAAAAATTTTGAACAATGTCCGTTCATTGATGGCACTTACAAATAAAGACAAAAACATTACAATATCAAAAGATAAAACGATGGACATTTACACGTTTACCTCCACAGAGCGAACCAATAAACTTTTTAAATAGAGTTTTGATTTTATCATTAAAAATTTATCCAATTATTATCCTCTTATCAAATAAAATCAAAGTAGTAAATTAATTTTTTTTTTTAGACTCCTGAAAAATTATAAGTTTATTTTTAAGAAAAATTTTAAGTGCACAATGTCCTATTGCACCCGATTAAGACTGTTCATTTTAGCATCACTGTAAATTAGAGATGGTAAACGAACAAAACGACTTACTCTCCTATTATCCTTGCTCTTTCCAATGGCCCTCTTAGGACCTGAACTGGTCGGCGTCCCTAAATATAGCCACGGCCTGTAACTAAAAATTAGAAAGAAAATTTTATAAAAAGAGCAGAATACACTATTTTTTAATTACCATTTTCAGAAAGGAAAAATTTTACAATACAGAGTGCATTAAAAGGCATGTGAAAAAGCAAGAATTGATAAAAAGAACATGGAAAAATATTTGTTACCAGTTGAAGGTTTGAAGAGTTGGTCTTTGAATCAAGGCCAAGAGAACTTAGGAGACTTGTGGCTATAACTGCAACTCGAGAGAGAGATTATGGTTCTTTTAATTTAAAGATTAAAACACCTGAGACAAATCCAAACATAATTTATAGCCAGCGCTTGAAGAATTGAATTTGTTTTCAAAAAAAGGGAAATATTACCGTTATTATAAAAGAATGGTTACATTTTTTAATTAGCATATTATCGGTAGGTTTTGGGTCGAGGACTTTGAATTTTTTCTTTTTTTTTTTTTTTTTTCCTTTTTTCCCTTTTTCTTAATGGATTATTCAAATTCAACATCCGCGTATTTTGCATGGAGATTTCGAGTAGCAAAACTTAAATTGACGGCGCATCGCAGAACTCCAATAACACATGTTAATTCTATTTATTTATTTTGAAAATGTTAAACACTAATAGCAGGTCTCTCTTTCTTCTTGTGCTTTTGTAAATTGTATTTTTCAAGTAATCGGTGAGCATTCTTTCTTCAGTTAGATTAATATAAGGTGTATTCTGATTATTTTTTGGTGGCCGATTTTAAATTTCGAGCACGTTAGGAGCAAAAATATTTTATAATGGAGCTCGATAACTGTGACATGTATGTTCCATTATTAATGTTTGCTTGTTTAAACTTCATTTATAAATGTCCAAGGTATAGCCGTTGCTGAAGGGGGCCAAAATTATAAACAGTTTTCTTTTGTCTTATTTAAACTAGGTGGTTTCTCGCTGCTCTGCGTAGCCTTATATAGTTAGCCTTTTATTTTTTAAAAATTATAAAATGTGTATTGAATAAATTGCTAAAAATTTTAAGTGCATACCTATGTTAGATAGTACAATTCAATGTATCATGTTGAAATTGAAAATAATTTTATTCTAACTAATGAGTTAAGTTATTCATGATTTAAACTTGAAAATAAAAAAGGGAATGCTAGGTATAGTATTTTAGACATCACCGATTGAATAGAGAAAGTTAATTTTACTGTATTAAACATAAAAATACTGATGAAAAAATTAATTAGAAACTTATATCCCTCTCGGAGTAATTAATTCGAAGCATTGAAATGGCATATATTAAAAAAATTTGAAAAAAATTTAATGATAAGTTAAGAAATTTAAGTACATAAAATTTAGAAGAACAAAATTAGATAAGGCAGTATAGAGCTATTACTTTATTTATTGCAATTCATATTTTTATAAATATTTTTGATTTTTAACATTTTTTGTCCATCTTTTATATTTATTTATTCTAATAAAATAATATTTTTAGGTCAATTATGCACAAATCATCAATTAGAGGGAAAGACATTTTTCATATTTAAGGTTTAATGATTAAAGAACTATTTAATTTTGTTCATGACCGTCATCGTGGCTTAGGACCGACACTAGGGCATAGGTTTATATATATATAATCTGACAAGGTCCATCTTCCAAGAATAATCAATTATATATTTATATTGAAGCCCCAAATCGTAATCAACTTCAATCATTCAATATTTTTATACTATTTTGGGCCTGAATCCATGGATTCATTTCATTCAACATTCATAAAAATAATTTAGGGAACTACCGATCAATATTCAACACAAGATCTTATTCACAACTTTTCTAAATCACTACAATCAGGGAGTTCACCACAATTCGAATAGTTTATCACATGCTTATTTCCCTATTCTAATTACGGATATATACAAAATATTACTAATAAAATAATAGAAATGTTATTTGAGGGGCCTATTTGTTCAATTAAATCTTTATTACTATCTAGCTTTGTTGGAGAAAAAGGGAAGATAGGGCTTTTGGCACATTGTGTAGAAGCAATAATCTGGGGATTCCTGAAAAAATTAGATGAAGAGGGAATGAGTTCTGCTTCAGCTCGATGGACATATTATTTAAATTATACATTACCCATACCAATTCACATAATTATGCTCCTAGGGGATTCTAAAAGGTGAAACATTCATTTAAACACACATATGGCACATCTAACAGCACCCACGAACAAAATCATCTCGACATAATTAAAACAAATGGGGGGGGGGGAAAAAAGGGGAATTGGTCCTGTAGAGTCACCAAAAACCCCAAAGCGAAGTCGCCCTCACAACATAACCTGTTCTCTATAAGGTTATGCACTAGGGAGCCGATCCCAATACGTAGCCGACCGGTCTAATC